TGTTATTCAGCTTCTTTGTGAATAGGCTCTTGCAAGAAGGGGGTTGGAGGAACAGGGTGAGATGTCTGAGCAGACTGGGGTCAGCTTGACTTTAACTTCTAAATTAGCTATAGTTATATTAACAGGCTAACAGTATAAGGGTTTTTGTTTTGTTTGGTTCTGAATTAACAGGATATAAACCTTAGGAACAGAATTACTATACAAACTGGATATAGGCAAGAGAGAGCATTACAAGTAACTGGCTCTCAGTGCAGGGTCTACTGGTCATTGCATGGGATGAAAAAAATGATTCTCATTGGCCTTTAACTTTTCTGAATTGCTCAGAAACCATGACATAATCCTCCCGACGTGCATATTGATTCATAATTTCATTTTAACTTCAGTACCCATGAGGTTTGAAATAAAAGAAAATCCTATTCATTAACCCCTGGCCCAGTGTGGGGTTCCCTTATAACATCCATCGCATTTGGAATAAGATTTACTTGAGGTTCTTTCCTGACAAATTGTCGTTTTTATTATGGGAAAATTTGAACCTATTGAAGAATATATTCATCTTTGTATTCCCATCATCCAGGGAGAATTCTAAACATTTAACATCAGGTCTTTTCCTGTGTGGCAACTGCATATACGCATAATTTTTCTTTAAAACTCGGGGTCATTCGTTGGGCTTGGGTGGCTTATTAACGATGAATGGGGTCCTCTGTGTGTAAACTTTCACCCACGGGTACCCACTCTGGTGAGGCGTGGGAACTCGCAACCGCAGGCAACAGTGAGAAGGGACGGCCCCAGCGGCTGTGTACCACTCAACCGAAGCTTGGGTCTGGCAACCCGGGAACCCGAGGTCCTCGGCGTAGAGACCGAGATCTCCAAGGCTCCCGCGGCACCGCCAAGCACCCGAGCCCCTAGGGAGCCGCACCGGCTACTGCGCAGGCGCCCAAGCCGGAGGGCGGAAGCGGAAGGCTCGACGCGTCGGTGGGAGCCCGAGTGACCGTAACCATGCGCGGCCTGGAGGAGTCGGGGCCTCGACCCACAGCGACCCCGTGCGGGTGCATAAAGCCAGCCCTGGAGACAGGTAACTTCTAGGAACTGGCGGTGACGCACTCAGGAGAGGACTCGGCGCAGGCGGCCAACTTCGTGCCTAGAGAGAAATAGGAATGCGAGAGACCGAACTGACTTGCGTCATTGTCCTACTGGTGGCGAAGGCACAGGTCACGTGCTCGGTCGACCACGTGACGTAGCGGAGGCGAGCGGGTGACGTCATGGCGCATGTTCCGTTCTTGTTTCAGGGCTTGTAAGGTTCGCTGATCTTGGCGCGGTGGCCAGAACTGCCACGTGCAGTGTAAGGGCTTTTCTCCCTGCGGAGGTCTCTGTGCAGTGTGGGAGTTAGGCTGTGTCCAGCTGGTGAGGAGGTAGATGCCTTAAGAGAGAGCTTCCTGTGCTCTAGGAGATAGGGAGGGAGAAGGGAAAGTTTGGGGAGAGGAAGCCTGAAAAAAGATAAGCATAAAGTTATCTTTATTTACCCCTCTTTATGATGAGTGAAATATTAGTTTTAGAACTAGAGGATGCAAGTGAAAAGAAAGAAAAATAGCCTGCCATGACGCAGAGAAAAACCACTGTTAATACCTGCTGTCTACCTCCTGTAGTTGTTCTCGTTGCACCCACGCTGGGGAAATGAGAGGAAATGCAACCACAGTGTTAATAACTTTGAGAAAAATATGCGGTTCAGGCCTGTATCCCCAGCTACTGAGAAGGCTTAGGTGGGAGAATACCTTGAGCCCAGGAATTGGAGGCCAGTCTTGGTAATATTGTAGACCCTGTTTCAAAATATATGTGTATACACACACACACACACACACACACAAAATTGTATTGAAATTAAAACAAAATATTTCACATACAAAAATCTTTCATGGCAATTAATTCACTTTTATTGTTTTAGAGATGTACTGTAACGTTATCAGCTGGTTCTCTATTGTTGGACATTTGAGTTATTGCCAGTTTTTATTGTAATTGAAAGATTCTTGAAAATCCT